AATTATAACGAATATTATTTGCGCCCGGACAAGAAATTAAATGACCTTATCGATCTTGTCTCCATTCAAAACAGCAATGTAAATATCGTTAAAATAAAAACAGAACTTTTTCAGCAAAAAGCACTGTTGACATTTAAAGTTGGTCTTTCACAACCCTACCGCGATTTGTTAAAATACAGCAATTGTAAATCACTAGAAGAATGTCTTTCGCGATGTTCTGAGCTCGAAAACGAAGAATCTTTTGGTAGAGCTATACGCAACACCAAACCTGATAAAAGCAAAACACCCCAATTAGTTTCAAATTCTCCGTCACCAAGATTTTTTAACTATCCCCCACAACATTTTAATCAAGTCAGTCACCCCGAACCACAACGATCAAATTTTAATAACACAAAACCCTTTGGTAATTTTAACAAATCTTTTCCTCATAAATCGCAACCAATATATAAACAATTTTTCGGCCCATCTACAAGCAAAAATTTGCCAAATACACAACATTTTTATAAGCCATCTCCGATGTCAACCCAAACCGCCAAATATTCAAATCAAAGTTACAAACCGACTCCAATGTCAACTCAAACCATTAAAAACTTTTTTCAAAAAGAATTTACTGTGCAGTCACTTAATAAATCATTTACCAATAATAAAAATTTGCAGTATCCAATTTTTTCAGAATTCGGAATCAATTACTACTTTAAATTTCATATAATTCCCTGGCATGAAAGATTTGATGCGCTAATTGGTTCAAGCGATCTTCAAAATTTGTACGCAAAAATTGATTATCAAACACACACTTTAAATATTAATAATATTTCAATAAAATTCCGTTATTTTTGTCCAGAACATACTAAAATTGCAGTTAATTGTCCCGATGGCGATGTTTTCGTCCCCAACGTTTCGATTCACAATCAAGAAATTTTACCCTCTTCTATTCATTTAGTCAAAGACGGATTTATAACAATTCCATATACAAAAAATGCCCCTAAACAAATCTCCGCTTACCCCTTGAATTTATTTAACATAGAAACGAGTTTTCCGATTTACAATAACGACTTAGATGTCAAAAAATTACGTCTTTCCCATCTAAATTCCGAAGAAACAACAGCAATTATTAATCTTTGTCAGCGATATAAAAATATTTTTTATAACGAATCGACACCCCTGTCATCTTCAGTCACTACTACCCATCATATAGCGACAAAAGATGAAAACCCAATTTTTACTCGTTCGTTTAGGCACCCTCCGCTTATGCGTTCTGAGATCTCTAAACAAATTCGGAAACTTTTAGACCAAAAAATTATTCGTCCTTCAACCAGTCCATATAGTGCCCCTGTGTGGATTGTACCAAAAAAACCAGATGCCTCAGGTGTCAAAAAATTTAGAATGGTGATTGATTACAGAAAATTAAATGAGAACACAATTGAAGACAAATACCCGCTTCCCAGATTCGATGAAATCTTAGAAAATCTAGGACGTTGTAAATATTTTACATGCCTTGATCTTGCCCAAGAATTTCATCAGATAAAAATGTCAGACAAATCAATCCCTAAAACCGCCTTTACTGTCAACCAAGGACACTACGAATACGTTCGCATGCCCTTTGGCTTACGCAATGCCCCTGCTTCATTTCAACGTATGATGGACGAAGTTTTAAGGCCTTATTTATATCAAAAATGTTTTGTTTACATGGACGATGTAATTATTTTTTCAAAATCTCTCCAAGACCACATTCATGATTTAAAACTAATATTTTCGGCATTAAATAAAGCAAATTTTAAAGTACAGCTTGACAAGTCAGAGTTTTTAACAAAACAGGTAGAATTTTTAGGTCATATCGTAACAGAAAATGGACTGGAACCAAACCCCAATAAAATTAAAGCCATAAAAAATTTCCCTATTCCTAAAACCGTTAAAGAAATTAAATCCTTTTTGGGACTCGGATATTACCGTAGGTTCATATCTGATTTTGCGAAATTGACATACCCAATTAACAAATGTACGCGAAAAAATGAAAAAATTGACATTTACAACGAACAATACGTATCAGCATTTAATAATTGCAAAGAAGCATTATCCAACTCCCCTATTTTACAATATCCGGATTTTCAAGAAACTTTTACCTTAACAACTGACGCGTCCAACGTTTCCCTTGGTTCTGTGCTCTCCCAAAAAGGACTTCCCATTGCCTATCACTCACGCACCCTCAATTCTGCTGAAAGAAATTATTCTACAACAGAAAAGGAACTTCTTGCTATTGTTGACTCTGTGCAACATTTTCGTCCCTATTTATTTGGCCGCACATTCAAAATTGAAACGGATCACAACCCCTTAATTTGGCTCTCAAAATTAAAAACCCCAAATTCACGATTAGTTCGCTGGAAAATAAAGCTGGAGGAGTACGATTACACAATAGTATATAAAAAAGGTAAAGACAATGTTGTTGCTAATGCCTTGTCTAGAATAGAGATCAATGTAAATGATACTGATTCGATCTTCCCAAATATCGAAGAAAACCCCGACCCAGCTGATCTTGAAGAATTTCTTGAAAAAAGCACTGTTCATTCCCAAGCAAACAATATTTCATTTGAACTTTCAATAACTGACAAACCAATTAATTATTTTAAGAACCAAATTTTTATTGCTACTGGCCATTCAGAACAAAACTCCCTTAAAATCAAATTTAGAGACCGTCGAGTTATAAGCATCGTATTACAAGATAATAACAATATTTCCGAACAAATCCTCTCTCAATTTAAAGAACTTATTGACCCTTCACAAACCTATTATCTGTATTTACATCAACCCAATTTGTTACGCCCCCTTATTGAGGAAACACTTGGAAAATTTTTTACAAATTCACTTAAAATTAAACTTTGTTCCACCTATTTAAAAGACATTTGCAAAGTTGAGGACCACGAAAAAATAATCGAGCAATATCATAATGGAAATCATAACGGCATAAATGAAACGTATTCGCAATTATCCCAAATTTATTATTGGCCTAATTTAAAAATCGATATTACAAAATTTATAAATGCTTGTACCGTATGCTTAAAAAACAAATACGAACGCAGACCCCCAAAGTACCCATTTCAAGGCCCGCTATTATCACATAAACCTTATAAAAGTAAATCATTTTTAACAATTCTAGATCAATTCAGTAAGTACGCACAATGTTATATGTTAAATGATCGAACTAGTTTTGAAATAATTCGTAAATTAAGGCATTATTGCTCTCACCACAATTATCCGGAAAAAATTACAACAGATTCAGGCACAGAATTTACGAGCCACACGTTTAAACAATATTTAAATTTACATAAAATAGATCACCATATTACTACCGTCCGAAACTCAAACTCAAACTACCCCATCGAACGCTTTCCGAATACCCTTAACGAAAAACTAAACATCCTCCACGAAGTTAACCCGCGAGACTCCCTAGATGATCACGTTATCACCGCTGTCACAATATATAATCAATCAATACATTCAAGTACTAATTTTGCCCCTTTTACGCTATTATATGGTCCCTACGAAAAACTTATAGAACTAAATACCGACACGCCTATTTATGAAGATTTTGTCGAAAAGCGAAAGGAAGAACTTTTACCTTTTTTTGATCACGTTTATGGAAAAACTCGAGAAAAAGCAATCAATCGACTAGAAAAATGTAATAAAACCAGAAACGATGTACCTTTAGATTATTCAACCCAAATCAGTTCAGATACACCCCTTATTGTATATTATAAAAATAAAAATAGAAACAAAGCAATTGCCCCATTTTCTCCCCTCGTTGTTAAGGAGCAACAAAATAATAAACTAATTGGTAAAACACATAAGAGAACCACAGAGACCGATAAAAAGTATTTAAAAATTCGTAAAAGTAACACCTTGTTGCAGGATTCTGCTACTGGTGGCGCCTCTATCCCTCTGCCTGCACCATAAAATTTATTATTTATTTAATGCCCTTCACGACCTCGCCCTTCAAAATCTAAACAGTTCACTTAATAAATTGTTACGACCAAAACGAGGTTTAATCAATACTCTTGGTTCAACCGTTAAATTTATCACTGGCAATTTAGATCAATCGGATCTGGATTTAATCAATAGAAAATTTGAAAATTTGACAGATGCTCACAATCACAATCATAACGTAAATAAAATATTAATTTTTTGTAAAGAAACAAACGACCGCTATAATAAAATAATAACAACATTTAATAATCATCTAATAATTATTACATCTTACCTATGTTATTATATAGGTAATTATGCAATAAACTTGGCTTATAACAACAGCAAAAATGTTAATAAATACTTTTCTATGTGTTTTTTTTTACGATAACCAAATACAACCTCTATGAATTATTTCGGAAATTTATTTTTATCTCCGTAGGTACCTACCATTTCTCTACTAAAAGTCTTATTAAGTCTTAAAAAGTCTTATTAACTCTTCCAGAAGACTCCCAAATCTTGCTATTAGTCTGACTTAATAAGACTTATTCAGACTTTTTCCGACTTAATAAGTCTTATTCTGACTTTTTCCGACTTAATAAGTATTATTCAGACTTTTTCAGAGAAAGTAAGACTTTCTCAGAGAAAAATTTCCACAAGGGCCATACCATAACAATAAGCAAAAAACGATTGACGACAAGTAAGTTATTTTAAATGGTTTAGTTCTAATATATATATATATATATATATATATATATATATATATATATATCCTGGTATATAAAAAATATTTTCTTTGGGAAATTTTATGCTCTACAAGAATCCGCGACGTAAAAATTTTTATCTCAAACGGTTCAAAAGTTATAGTCTTTTTAATGAAAAAAGATTTTTTTACGTGTTATTTTAATGGAAAACTTAGAATGCTCACCGACACCTTTTAAAATTCAGCAAAAAATTTTGCCTTGCAGGGAAATTTTTTGCTCGGTATGTAGGTTCATTTTAACCCATAAATCCGATAGGTTAGTTTTTTTGGCTCACCCTAATATAGGGGAGAGTGGGGTACATTCGGCCCTGGGGTACATTCGTCTTTTAATGAGATAGTTGGTATTTTTCAAATTTTCCGCCAAAATTGCAATGAAATGTCATCATGCAAACAGCCATGTTGGTTTGATAAAGTGGGGTTAGTGTAATTGTGCATTTAGATGTTTCTTTATAAATATTAGTTTTATTGCTTAAACAAGGTAAGTTTTTGACCTATTTAGAAGTTAAAACTATCATATTTGGAGTGGAATTAAATGCAGATCAATTTTTCTATATATTACAGTAACGCTATTAAAAAGAGATTCCGGTACAGGCTTGCCTCAAATTATACAAGTTTTGTGTGGGTTTCTTGTTAAGTAATACTTATACACATGGGGTACATTCGGCAAATAATAATGGGATAGATTCGGCACCATGACGAATCTACCCCATACTGCCGAATCTACCCCATAATTTAATTTAGACTTCATTTTATTAGCTCTAGGTTTATGACAGTATATAATTTAGCTGAAAAATGGATTGATAAGTACTTATATATGTTTGCAGATGCCACGCACATATACAAGAAAAACCGAAAGGGTTAATATTGACGAAAAATCGATGAATTCGGCAATGAAAGAATGTATCGCGAAGAGATTGTCAGTGAATGAAGCAGCCAGGCAGTATGGCATCAAAAGGACTACGTTGCAATCCCGAATTAAAACACTACTAAAAAAAAAGTCATTAGAAGAAATTCTCAGGGAAGATTCGGGAAATGAAAGTGAAGAAGCTGCCCCCAAATACAATAGCAAGTATACAGCCAAGCAAGTCTTTACAAGAGACCAAGAAGATGAACTTAGTGACTACATAAAAAAATCATCAAACCTACACTATGGATTATCATACAGACAGATTAGAGCTGTGGCATATGAATTTGCAAAATCAATTCCTAATTGTAACATGCCTGAAAATTGGGAAAGGAAAAAAGTGGCCGGTTTGTATTTCGTAAATATATATATTTTTTAATAAAAATAATGTAATTTCATTTGCAGGACTGGACTGGCTATACAAATTCATGAAAAGACATCAAGATTTGTCATTGCGAAAACCAGAAAGTACCAGTTTAAGCCGTTCAATGGCATTTAATAAACCTGTGGTTGATGAATTTTTTGATAAATATGCTTCTGTCTTGGAAAAGTACAAATTTCGTGCCGATCAAGTGTGGAATTTGGATGAAACAGGAATCACAACTGTTGCCAGGCCTGTAAAAGTTGTCACTACTAAAGGGAAAAAGCAAGTGGGTCAAATTTCTTCAGCAGAGAGGGGATCGTTAGTCACCTTTGTGGGCATCATCAACGGTGTTGGCGCGACGGTTCCTCCTATATTCGTATTTCCCAGGATTCGAAATCCCTCTGAATATTTATCAGAAGGGTCGCCTTTGGGATCCATTGCACTAGGAAATAAGTCTGGTTGGATGACCTCGGAATTATTCCCAGATGTTTTGAAACAAATAGTAAATTATACTCACTGTTCTGAAGACAGCAAAATCTTGCTACTTATAGACAACCATGAATCCCACATCTCGGTGGAAACAATAAAATATTGTAAATCCAATGGAATTGTTCTGCTGTCATTTCCACCCCATACTACTCACAGGCTTCAGCCGTTAGATGTGGGAGTTTATGCCCCATTCAAAGCTTACCTGGCCACAGCATTCAATGATTGGATGTTAGCGCACCCAGGTCGAGCCATAACCATAAGAAATATTGGATATTTGGCAAACAAAGCATATGAAAATGCCTTTTCCATTAAAAATATTACTCACGCTTTCAAGAAAACTGGTTTATGGCCAATCAACCGAATAATGTTTTCTGATGAGGATTTTATAGCGAGCAAGGTGACAGATAGACCTTTAACTCAATATGAACCTCAGCTAGGACCACGTGATAATGAAGATAAAGAGAATCGATCACCCAGACCTGAACACAATGGCTCACATGGGAATCTATTAAATGATGCTGCCAATGATAATCCAAATTTTCAGGAAGGTACTCCTCCGGACCTTTTATACAGCTCAGCGCAACCTTCAACTTCTGGTCTAAGTTTGGAGAAACTGGTCCCTTATCCCAAAGCTTCCATTTCCAAACCAAGGAGAGGTAAAAAGAAGTCAAAATCAACAATATACACCGACACTCCTGAATTGTTGATAAGGGAGAATATTGAATTGGAAAAAAAGAGAAAGCAAGAAGTAAAGAAAAACCGGACGGCGAAGAGAAATATTTTATTCGACAAAAAAGTGGAAAAGCAGAAAATAAAAAAGCATGAGGAAGAATCAAGTGATTCTGATATCTCATTGGATGATGTTATATCCAACAGCAGTGATGACTTTGAAGAACTAGAAACGGCTTCCGAAGGAGATATTGAAGTTGGCGACTACGTTTTAGTTAAATTTCCTACAAAGTCTGGAATATTGATGCATTATGCAGGTCGCATTGAACAAGTTAATTCCCCTATATATACAATAAAGTTCATGAGGAGAAGGGGATTTAGCCAGAAATTTTTTTTCCCTTCAGTGGAAGACATAACTGACACTAATATTTCGGACATTGTTGCCAAACTTCAAACTCCACCTCAAACTGGCACTGCAAGGACTTCATCTATGTATACGTTTTGTTATAATTTCAGTTCTCTTAATGTATATTAAATAAATAACGTCAAGTTTATAGATCTTTTGTTTAAATAATGTACTAACGAATGTACCCCATCCCTAGGCCGAAAGTACCCCACTTATGGGGTAGTTTCATCATTTTTTTACATTTCGAAAAACTGCAAATAAATATATAATAGAGGTATACAGCGAGCCAAGCATGTGTCCTAAACTTTCCTAATCTTTGTTAATAGGTATGGTATCTAAGAATTTGTTCTGAATACATACATGTGAATCTGACGATTTTTTTAATAAAAAAGGGCCGAATGTACCCCACTCTCCCCTACAGTGTGTTCCATTTAAAACGAACCACCCTAAATTTCTCGGAACCTGAACATTTTTTTTATATCGAGGGGGACAACTTTTCATGTCAAATTTTGGTTTCTCACCCCTACCCCTTGAATTTGAATAGGGAAGGGGTATCGACCAATACATCATTTTAAAGGTCTTTCAAATCCCTATACATCAATGTTTTATTTTTTAAAATCGGTCTGTTTATTTTTGAGATATTTTAGAAAAACCACCTTAAATTTTTAAAAAACTGGAAGAATTTGGAAAAAAGGCGGACACACATAAAGTTTTATATCGAGGGGCACATTTTTTGGCGCTACTGCTACTTTAACCTCCTTGAGTTCTGCAACCCCTAACTCAAAAATCCTAAATTTCAAAAGGTATCATGTGACACATCATTTTAAAGCTCTTTTAATTTGCAATACAACTGTGTAGTTAGTTTTGTAATTTATAGGTTGGTTCTCAAGAAAAAAAAAACAATATTTTTTGTTTGGAAATTGGTTTTTACTAAATCTAAACGAATAGGTATACAAATTTATTTATCAATTACAATTGAAAAAAAAAATAATAATATTTTTAGGTCAAATGTTCAAAATGTCCCCCGTTCTCTTGCAAACAATAATAAAGCCTGGATTCAAATCCCTCCCTCACATTACGGAACATCGCTGGAGTTATTTGACGGCACTCTGTTATAATCCGTTGACGTAGTTCGTCCAAAGACGCAGGTTGTGTCACGAAAACTTTCGACTTGAGGTAGGTTAACAATTGTAAAGAAAAAAACATTGTTTATTGTTATTACCGTATCAATCCTGCAAAATTTGGTCAAAACGGCTTTGGTGAGTTGAATCTCTAATGTCTATGTATAATAAATTTCGGAACTAAACAAATCTAATCGATGAAAATCTAAAAATAAAAGAAACTCGGTTAGATTTAGAAAAAATCAATGCCTATGAATTACATTCTAATAAATTTTTTACTGTTTTTGTTTGAAGAACTAAACCATTTAAAATAACTTACTTGTCGTGAATCGTTTTTTGCTTATTGTTGATAAATAAAGTTTTTACCTAAAAAGCTAATGTTTGAACGTTTGATGCATTGTAAATCACTATTCTTACATTGCTTAATTGTTTAAATATGGTGTACACATTACAAGAACGTGTTGAGTTGGTAGGCTGCTATTACGAAAATCAAAAATGTGCTCGAAGGGTGTTCAACGAAAATCACCCTGATTGCAATTGTTGGCCACAAATACATCGGGGAATTTTTCTCAAAATTTGTTGAGACGGGTATTGGGACATATCCAGCTTATGCCAAATACGCAGTCAATACGGCAAATATCTGCAACTTCCGGCGTGAGCAGCACTAACGTATTTAGAATTTTACACAAAAACAAGTTTCATCCCTACAAAATTCGGCTGGTACATGAATTAAATGAAGACGATTTTGATAAAAGACAGGAATTTTGCGAAATCATGAGTGACCGTCTTATTCAAAATCAAAATTTGTTGTACAACATTTGCTTTTCGGACGAGTCAACTTTCTCTCTCAATGGCAAGGTCCATCGGCATAACTGCAGGTTTTGGAGTGATACAAATCCTCATTTATACAGGGAAGTTCATACTCAACATCCGCAAAAGTTGAATGTTTGGGCAGGAATCTTGGGGGACCATTTAATTGGACCTCTGTTTATTCAAGGTAATTTGAACAGCGAAATGTATCTAAACATGATGGAAAATGAAATTGATGCCTTGATAACCCAAACTTTGGAAGATGATCCCTTGCTTGCTGAACAGGACTTACATTTTCAACAAGACGGCGCTCCTCCTCATTACGCAGCTCCAGTTCGTCGGCATCTAGATATGCGATATCCTGAACGTTGGATTGGACGAAGAGGTCCTGTAGAGTGGCCTGCCCGATCACCTGACTTAAATCCACTCGATTTTTTTTTGTAGGGATACCTTAAGTCGAAAGTTTTCGTGACACAACCTGCGTCTTTGGACGAACTACGTCAACGGATTATAACAGAGTGCCGTCAAATAACTCCAGCGATGTTCCGTAATGTGAGGGAGGGATTTGAATTCAGGCTTTATTATTGTTTGCAAGAGAACGGGGGACATTTTGAACATTTGACCTAAAAATATTATTATTTTTTATTTTCAATTGTAATTGATAAATAAATTTGTATACCTATTCGTTTAGATTTAGTAAAAACCAATTTCCAAACAAAAAATATTGTTTTTTTTTTCTTGAGAACCAACCGATAAATTACAAAACTAACTGCACAGTTGTATTGCAAATTAAACGAGCTTTAAAATGATGTGCCACATGATACTTTTTGCAATTTAGGATTTTTGAGTTAGGGGTTGCAGAACTCAAGGAGGTTAAAGTAGCAGTAGCGGCAAAACATGTGCCCCTCGATATAAAACTTTATGTGTGTCCGCGTTTTTTCCAAATTCTTCCAGTTTTCGAAAAATTTAAGGTGGGAAGTTTTAAAAGCATATTGCATGGTTTTTTTAAAATATCTCAAAAATAAACAGACCAATTTTAAAAAATAAAACATTGATGTATAGTGATTTTAAAGACCTTTAAAATAATGTACTGGTCGATACCCCTTCCCTATTTAAATTCTTAAGGGGGTAGCTCCTGGGCGCAAAGGGGTAGGGGTGAGAAACCAAAATTTGACATGAAAAGTTGTCCCCCTCGATATAAAACTTTACGTGTCTCGGCGTTTTTTCAAAAAAATTTCAGATTAAGAGAAATTTAGGGTGGTTCGTTTTAAATGGAACACACTGGATATATATATACATAAACATATACATATATATATATATAAATTGTAAAGACTTCTCCTTACCCCAGGTTCGTTTAAAACAAGTTTAATGAAAAATTGATAAATTAAATATTTTGTGGCTTTGGCTCGTGATCGTCTTACTCAAATTTGGACCTCTACGTTGTGTTTACTTACAGGTTTTATTAAATGCATTGCTTTACGAATGATACGTGGGAGAACTAGGTTTATAAGAAATAAAATACAGTGTGTTAGTTTACCCCAATTTAATTTAAGTTAACTTTTACAAACAAGCAAGGGGTGGCTCTTAGGAGGGTTCGGCCAGAAAAAGGGCCTGAGAAAAAACCCTGGTCGGTTATAAAGTAGCGAAGTAATACGCGGTCAGGCATTGTACTTGAAAATTTACGCAAATTAATATATTGGAGATATAGCTCGATACTGCATTCAACAAAGATTTACAACTGAAGAATATTGGTGTTAGTTAACCGGGCTGGGCCCAGTAGGTAACGAGGTCCGCAATGGAAGCAACTCGCCTAATTTAGTTGAAGGGTCGGGAAAAAGCCCTAGAGAACCTAGGACAACCTGTTTCCCTCACGGGAGAAAATATTAGTTCATACAACAAAGGCCCACGCACACAAACATATTAATATTACCCTTAGTTAATTTTAATACACATTTAGATAGATTAAATATTTAGAACTAACCTTGTAGAATACACTAACAACACTTTTAACAATGATTTTAGAACAATAATTTGATTTTACAATTTTACCAAAGAAAACGATCTGTACAGTATACTGTACAGATCGTTGGAATACCAAGTTCAAAACGCTTCTCCTTGTTTTCTTGCTTTTTTAAACACCCTCTTTTTTTAGCTCTGCGTGGAATTTCCTGGCTAATCTGCCCGCCACATGTCCGCTTTCTCCAGCCCAGCGCAATTTTCTGTCCTACCTCTTGCTTGACAAATTTTCTACCTAAATTGTATTTTTGTTTGCCTTAAACTAAAATTTTATAACGTAAACTTATTTTAAAATTAAAAATAAAATATATTTATGAACATGTATTATAATAAATTTATAATGGGGTCTCATCAGTGTCATGCAGTCGGTGACGGGAGACACGGATCATGCTCGGCACTGTTCACTTAAAAGAAAATAAGTGACCAGGACAGCGGCGAGATGTATCGGCAAGTCAGTCTGGAGACATCTACGCTGTGCGGCGTGCAATCATAATGCTCTTAGACACATACAGCGGTAGGTTTTATCAAACCGTACGCGGCCCAAAAGAGTCAAACTAGCTTTGACCAGCTATGCGGCAATATTTCAGAAACAATAGGTTTTCTACTCTACGCCAGTAGTAGGCAACCAAAATTCTAAAGACTGAAATGCTTTGAGCCCGGCTCTGTGACGAGATGGAAGGCACTTCAGTCTTTGCAATTTTGATTGCCTACTACTGGCGTAAAGTAGAAAACCTATTGTTTCTGTTTGGCAAGGGGGCAACGTTAATGTCAAACATCAAAATGGCGAATGACTGATCAAAATCTAAACAGAGAAGCTAAACAGGTTAATGTTTTAGATATGGAGGGTGTCATTACGCGAATAACTGCAAATGTAAGAATGTAGAATGCAGATATTGTCTGAAGTTGGGACAAATCGAGAAAATGTGTTTAAAAAAACAAAAAACAACAAATAAGATATCAGCAAAAGACATAAGTACAAGTGAAGAAAATATTTTCAAATATCAAACAGTATCGAGGAATCAACCATTCATAGTCGAGGTGTTACTCAACAACGAGAAATGTAACATGGAAATCGATTCAGGGGCAAGTCATTCCATTTTATCTTATAACCTATTTAAAAGGATGTTTGGTAACTGTAAACTTTTAGAATGCAACAAAAAACTAGAAGACTGTCAGCAGAGACAAATTGAACTGGCAGGCAATCTAAAAGTAAATAGGGAGAAATTGGTTTGCTGATCTTGGTATAACCATTGCAGGGATTAATAAAGTTGAAGAGAACTAACATTTTCGAGAAGTTTCCGAATGTTTTTGATGAATCGTCAGGAGTTTTTACATTTACCAGTGGATCCAGACGTGTCACCAATCCTGTTAAAGGCACGTAAGGTTGCTTATGCATTAAAACCCAAGATAAAGGAGGAATTAGAAAAGTTACAGATGTAAGGCATTTTAGAGCCAATAGAACATCCTAA